GGGTTCAAGGGTAAAAAAAAACACTATAGGTTTCTCTCTCTATGGCTTCTTAGTACCCATGGCCTGGTAACTGCTCTGACAGTGGTTTCATATTTCAGCTGCTTTAGAGGATGAAAACTTATAGCTTTGATCTGGATGCCCCAAAAGTGATTTTGTGTCTACTTAAATGAGTATATTACCATTTTAATTTCGTTTATAAAAATTAATCAGTATTAGTTGATAAGCCATAGAATATAAAAGCTAAAAGTGTTGGGGCGCCTGGGTGGCTCAGTCAGGTAAGCTGCTAACTCTTGATTTCGGGGTCCTGGGATGGAGCTCCATGTCGGTGCTCATCAGGGAGTCTGTTTCAGGATTCTCTCTCTTCTTCTCCCTCTGCCCCTCCCCCACTTGCTTGCACTATCTCTCTCTCTCAAATAAATAAATAAATCTTAAAAAAAAAACAACAACTAAAACTGTGGATTCTGGAGCCAGAGAGCCTGAGTTCAAATCCTTGGTCTGCTCTTATTAGGTGTGCAATTTCAGGCAAATTCCTTGATATTTCTGTGCCTCAGTAACCCCATCTATGCAATGGAGATATTAATAGCCCTAACCTCATAAAATTCTCACGACAGTTAAAAAACTGAGTAGACATAAAGCTTCTGGCAGAGTGTGTGGCCCATGGATACATAGGTAGCGCTCAATAGGTGGCAGCTACCGGTACCGTCACTTCTATGTGACCCTCCCCGTGCTTAGCGCTGGGTCTACGAAGTTGAAGACACACAGTCCCTGTCCTTCCGGGCGTAAGGTCTCCAGGAGAGGTGGCTGCTCCATTGTCACATGGTAGGAACTGAATATTCTAACTCTTCCATTACTGGCACTTAGATGGTTGGTTTTGAAGTTGCTCACAGGTGAGGGCCTGCTGGGAAGAGCTGGGGTGAAAGGTCCAGCACAGGACCTCAGCCAGGGCCCTGTCCAGGTTCAGGAGCACCCCGGGAGCTGAGTCATCATCCCCTGCCTGTTGCCAGCCTCCCCTTGCCTGTGGCAGGGCCTCTGCCGGATGGTCCCCCCTCCCCCACTGGTGCCAGAGAGAACACATTTGACAGCATCTGGCACCTCACCCACTGCTGCCCAGGAGGATCGATGCCTAACAAGCTTCTGACTCCAATTCGAAAGTTAGGGGCCACAAGGGTGAGGGTGGGTGGCGGGGATGGGGATGGTCTCCCCACCCCAACAAGCAATTTTTTAACACTGGCAGGGTGTCCTACAGTTTAACTTTCTCTGACAGCATCTACCTGGAGATAGCATCAGATCTGTAGGATCTGAAGGCCCCCCCCACCACCACCACTTCAGATGCCAAATGTAAGCCCAGGTTGTCACCTGTGCTCCTGACTGAAAATTTGATCAGATGTGCCTGGGCCCCCATCCTTGGGTATGATTAATTTGCTAGAGTGGTTGACAGAACTCAGAGGAACATTTTACTTGCTAGATTGCCAGTTTATTATGAAAGCATACAACTCAGGAACAGCCAGAAGGAAGAGACGCACAGGGCAAGGCATGTGGGGAGGGCGCGGGGAGCCTCCATGCCCTTCTCCAGGCACACCACTGTCCCATACCTCCATGTGCTCACTAGCCCAGAAGCTCTCTGAACCCTATAATGTGGGTTTTTGCGGAGGCTTCAGTACATAGGCATGGTAGATTAAATCATTGGACTTTGGCAATTGATTCAACCTCCAGCCCTTCTCCCCTCCCTGGAAAGGAAGGGGGGTGGGTGGGGACTGAAAGTTCCAACCCTCTAATCACATGGTTGTTTCTCAGCAGTCCCCATCCTTAGATGTAGTCCAAATGTCACCTCATTCACATAACAAAAGACACTTTATGACTTTGATCACTTTGGAAATTCCAAGGGTGTTAGGGGCCCGAGTGCCAAACAAGAGGGGACAAAGACCAAATATACATTTCTTATTATAAATCACAATATTACAATGCCTGTCTGTGTCCAAGAGTTGGTTTAGGGTCTGAGTGATTACTCTGACACCTCTTGGTGTCCTCCCGGTACGCAGAAGCTCCCCTGAAGCAGGGTAGGGGCCTTGTACTCTTAGTGGAGGTGAGTTCTGTTAGGTGTAGTTGCTGACAGCTTTGTGAGGAAGAGGTAGTGTGGAGGCCCAGGCTTGGTCTAGAGGTGGCCGCAGAGAGGGACTGGGCAAGGCAGCCAAGGGTACAGGCACACAAGATGTTAAATACAGCCTGAATGTTTGTGTGCCTCTGGAACTTCATGTGTGGAAACCCTAGTCCCAGTGTGATGGTGTTTGAAGATAGGCTTTTGGGAAGTAATTAGGCCACGAGGGTGGAGCCCTCCCGATGGAATTGGTGCCCATATAAGAACTTGTTCTCTTTTTGTCTTTTATGGGAACAAACAGAGAGAAGGCAGCTATCTATACTCTGGAAAGCAGGTTCTCACCAGACACCTGATCTGCTGGCTCCTTGATCTCGGACTGCTACCCTTCAGAACTGTTGAGCAATCAATGTTTAGTGTTTAAGGCACCCGGTCTATGGTATTTCTGTTACAGCAGCCCCAACAGACTGAGACAGAAGGCTTCCCAGAGAAAGTTCTTGAACTGAGCCTTAAAGAGAGAAGGCGTTTGACAGGCAGATGGTGGGGAGAACAGAGGCTCAATCTTAGGAGAATGGTAAGCACTTCATTATGGGCAAATGCTAGAGAGAAGAATGGCCAGAGGTGAGGCTAAGCAGGGACCAGAGTATTGGCCTGGTGGGCTTTACTAAGAGCTTTGCGATTTGTCTTCTATCACTGGGCCTTATTGAAAAAGTTCTGAAGTGATGAAAAACTTTTATATTTTTGACAGGTCGTGCAGGTTTCTGGGTTTTGGATGGATTCATGGGAGGGGAGGGGGAGTGGGCAGAATAGAGAACCCAAAGTGGAGGTAAAGAGATCATTTAGGAGGTGTTTGTAACATCCAGACATGAAATATTAAGAAGCTGAGCTAAAGTAGTGTCCCTGGGATTGGAGAAGAGGGAGTCTATTTCAGAGATATTTAAGGTGTAGCCCTGGCAGGTCTTAATGAATGATTAAATGTAGAAGAAAAAAGAAGACTAAAGTGCCTGCAGATTTCAGGCTCAGACGACAGCGCATGTGGTGATGTGTACAACCAGGACAAGGTATATGGGGGAAAGGAACTAGTTTCAAGAACAGGGAGGGAGAGAAGAACAGGCAAAGACAATGGATTTTCTATTGGAGTTCTGACAGTGTCTGTTAGGGTTCAGTTGTGTTTCCCTGAAATTCATATATTGAATAACCTCCAATACATCAGAATGGGAACTTTTTTTGGAAATAGGGCCTTTGCATCAAGTTAAGATGAGGTCATTAGGGAGGGCCCTAATCCAATATGCCTGGGTCCTTGGACACAGAGACAGACATGTGCACAAGAACATCATGTGAAGATGAAGGCAGAGGTTGGGGTGATGCATCCACAAGCCAGGGAACTACCAGAAGCTAGAAGAGAGTCCTGGAACAGATTCTTCCCAACACCTTCAGAGGGAACACGGCTCTGTCAGTACTTTGATTTTGGACTTCTGGCCTCCAGAATTGTGAGACAATACATCTTATTGTTCTAAGACACCCTGGTTTTGGTACTTTGATACGGTAGCCCTAGCAAACTAATATAGTGACCAATGACTATCCAACTGGAGATGTCTGGGAGCCGGTTGGTGCCTGGGAGTCAGTTGATGGATAGGTCTGGAGTTCAGGAGGTAGCATTAGGCCAGTGACGGAGTCATCCTGCCCTACCAGTGTGGCAGACATGTGACATTTATATGTGATCGTTATCCTTTCCTTTTAGAGAGACTTCTCCACTACTCCTTGTGGTCTCAGTGGAACCGACATCATGGGGCCATCTACCCCAGCTTGCAGGCCTGGTCTATCTGTAGCAGGAAAAGAATGCAGCAAACACTCAAAGAGAAACCAAAGCATGCAGATACAACAAGTGGTCAGAGATAAAATGTCCTGATAGAGTTGAGCCCTGGATTCTAGTCCCTGGGGCCCGAATTCTTACAGATCTAGGAATTCTATGAGCTACCCCAGCCATATCCTTTCCAGCTATTTGAGGCAATTCTTCATTTGCTTCTGAGAGTTTAAGTTGTCACCTGCCTTCAAAAGAATACAGTTGTCCAGCCCACTGGCTGCTCTGAAAAGCCATCTTGGCATCGCTCCCGAGTCCCGCTCCCGGTTCGCCGCAACCACCCCCGCCACCGCGGACTCCCGCAGCTTTCCCGCCGGAGTCCTTGAACTACTCGGCTGCGTTGGCTCCCCCGGCGCGCCCCATCATGTCGCACGCGGCCGTGGAC